TAGGAAGGTTTTTGTCACCAATCAACACTATATCTCCCTCATTTGGTTCGTAGTTTGTGTATTTCTTTTGTTTATGTTTGTCTATTCGTTCTTTGAGCGATTGTAAGTATTCAGTGGACCACCTTTCCCAGAATTTTTCAACTCTTGTTTGAAGTGTTCCCCAAAGGTTTACTAATTTCTCATGTGCTTTTTCCTTTTCCTTAAATTCAAGGTCATTTTTGTTTTCGGGTATTAAGCGTAAAAATTCGTTTTTGTTTCTATTTGGTTGCATAAAGTCTATAGGGCACAAAGGATTAGGTGATTCCATGTCCGAGCAAACATAAGTTAATGGCCTAGAATTGATTATCGATTTTACTTGAACTATTAGTGTTCGCATGTCTTCAATTTCTAGGTATTTTTTCCCTGTAACCAATTTAATGTGTTTTTTAGTTAATCCCACTAAGCGCTCATAAGTTCCACCAAACCATGGTGAAAGCTCGGGAATAAACTTCCACTCTAGTTTTTCGGCTTCAAAACTTTTTTGAATTTCTATGACAGCCTTAGAGCTCATTTTGAATTGGGTTCCGTTATCACTGATTAATTTCCGTGGTAATCCATACTCTGCTGTGAATCTAGTGAAAATTTGAAGGAAAGAAGAGGCAGTTAGATCCTTAGCTATATCTAAGTGTATCCCTCTACATGTAAGGCAAGTAAATAAACAAATCCATATTTTTAAAGCTTCATCCCCATTTTTAACATAAAGAGGTCCCATATAGTCAACACCTGTGCGTTCGAAAACTTGAAACCTATTTATTCTGTCATCCGGAAGAGGTGCCATTTTGGGAAATTTATATGGTTTTAAATTGTACATGAAACATCTTTGGCATTTTTTAATTACATTTTTAACCAAAATTCGAGCTTTGGGGATCCAGAACTGTGTACGTATATCTGCTAAAGTTTGTTGTATCCCCGAATGTAAGTTTTTCCTATGAAATTCTTGGCAGATCATTTGCGTTATTTCACTCTCATTTGAAAGGAATACGGGGTGGTTTTCTAAGTTCTCTAGCCTACCTTTACAAATCCATAAGTCGTAATTATTTTTCTCCATATTCAAGCAATTTTTGAGGCTGGGCGTTGGCGGATATCTAATTTGTGAATTTTTAATTAAAATTATTTCTGCTAATTTTCTCAGTTCAGTATTTCCCTTTAGGTTTCTTAGCTCTTTAAAAATTGTATTTTGCCAATCTTTTTTGTTTTTTGAAATATTTTTAATAAAGGTTAACACATTTTTCCCTATAGAGACCAATTTTTTCCATTCGTTTCTAATTTTCGGATCAATAAAGTCGATTTCTAGCGTGTTAATTTTTACTAAGTTTTCCTTTATATTTTTAATTTCTATTTTTAGGTCCTCTGGAATTTTTGGCCATTCCGATTTATCCAAAGAAAGGAATTCGGGCCCGGACCACCAGAGTTTATAACTTTTTAATTCATTTATTGTTATTCCGCGGGTGGCACAGTCTGCCGGATTTTGCTCTGTATTTATGTAACGCCACTTGATTTCTGTAATTTCTTTTATTTCTTCCACGCGTCGAGCTACAAAACGCGGCAATTTATTTGTATTTTCCCCTGATATCCACGCAATTACACATTTACTGTCAGACCAATTAGTAATTGAATTAAATTTTATTTTACTTTCCTTTTTTAAGAATTTAACCATCCTAGATCCGATTAAAGCCGCTAAAAGTTCTAAGCGTGGTATTGTAATGTTTTTTAATGGACATAATCTATTTTTGGCAAAAATAATATTTGTTTTTATTTTTTCTTTATTTTGCTGTCTCGCATATGCCACCGCTGAATAGGCCAATGCAGACGCGTCCACAAAAACATGTAAATCAATTTTTGAATTATTAAAATTTTCGAATAGTTTTCTATTTAAAGAGATTTCTCCTTCATCCGAAATTATTGTTTCCCATTCTTCTAGGTCATTATGGTCTAATTGATCGTCCCAATCTATTCCTTTTTTCCACAATTTTTGAAAAAATAATTTTTTAGTAAGCTGAACCAAATTTTTCATTCACTTTACTGCAATTAGAGGCGAATTCGTGTAATTCCATTTTGGCTTTTCCGAAAAATATAATACTTTGGTTACATTTAGCAATTGCATCCGATTCATCTTTAGCGGCAATAAAAACGTTATCCGCGTACGTTTCGATTTCTAGGTTATTATTTTCATTTTCTAAATGGTATTGGATTACTGCTGCCATTAAAAAGGGTGCGGAAATCACTCCAAATGGAAGTCTCTTATGGCGTAGTTTTATAATATTTTCCAAACTTGGCGGTTCATTTAAATTTTTAAGCCAAAGTAATCGTAAGACATCTCGGTCCTTTTTGTGGATTTCAATTTGATGGAAGGCCGCTTTAACATCCGCGATAATGGCTATATCATATGTTCGAAATTTTATTAAAGTTGCACAAAGATCAGGTAAAAGGACCGGGCCCCGATATAGTTGCTGGTTTAAACTTTCATTATTTTTTGTTTTGCAACTTGCATCAATAACCACCCTAATTTTATCTTTTTCTGGTCTATAAATGGCATGATGCGGAATATAATGTATTTTTTCAGAATTATCATTTTCAACAATTTCGAGCACTCCCTCATTTAATTGCTCTTTGAATATTTCGTCATATTTTTTAAGTGTTTTTTCTCTCAATTCTTTGTCTGGGATTTTTATGATTTTTTGCCAAATGCCTTTTAAACGTTGGAATGAAATCCAAAAATTATCGGGAAGTGTATACTCCTTATTTTTCCAGGGTAGAGCAACTTTATATCGGCCCATCTTGTCACGCCTTATATTTTTCAGAAAAAGTTCGTAGGCGATTTTATCGTCATTTTGGTATGGGCATTCACTAATTCCTATCCCCTCAAGATTCCAAAAATTTTCAATAGTTTCATCCGAAAATAATGTATTCATTTGTATATTTTTTGCTGTTTTTTCAATTGATTTATTCTTTTTTCTAATTTTAATTTGGTCTTTTAAAGTGCGGAGTCTAGCTGAATACATTCCCCCAATATTAATTTTCTTTGCATTTTTAGGCTCAACTGGAACAGGAGTGCAAATACAAGGGTATTTACTTTTACATTTGCATTTAATGCTCGGGTCTCTGTAACACTTACAAAAACACATGTTCGGTATGGGGGCCCTATTTTCTCGGTGTGTTTGTTGAAATTCCCTTTGAGTGGGTTTTGGGTCAGGCGGAGGGCTTTCTAAGTTATTTCTGAAATGTCCTCTTCCAGGAAAGGGCGAATCGTCATCGCTTTCATCAGTAGAGTCCATAAATAATGGCAAAATTTGTTTTTCTTTTTTAGAGGTTTCTATATAACCTTTGCCTGCTAATGACATACCAATTTTAGTATTTATTAGGTTAAAACCAGATTTAGTTTTAGGGAAGTCCAGAAGATCAAAATAGTATTCAGCCCCTATTAATAGTTCTGGTTCCTTTAGTGATGCAAAACATTTCGGAATAGTTGCGAAATTTTTTGTGCTTTTTGTTAATTTTGGATCTAGCACTAAAACAGGTTTAGGTAAATGTTCTACTCCTCGGGCTATAATTTCCATTTTTTGATTATTTTTACAGTGGAGGTAAAATTTGTAGACATTCGCCTTTTCTTCAAAGCGTGTGCCCATTGCTCCAGTACCCCTAATTGTTTCAGTAGAGATTGACTTTAATTTTATTTTATCGGCCAGGCTATTTTTAATTAATGAAATTTCTGCCCCACTGTCTAGGAATGCATAAGCCTCAAATGATCGATTATTTACCCCAGAATTTATGTTAGTTTTAAGCACGTGAAAGATTGTTTGTTCATTTTTCTCACCCCTTTTTTCATTTTGAGAGTGTTGAATAATTACGTCATTTTCATCGTCACTTTCCTCAACATTCGAATCGCTCTCTTGGACGTTAGCCATAATTTTTTGCTGCTTGTCCATTTTTGTATTTGTTTTCATTGGTGCGTGCGATCTATATTATTGAAAGATGAACAATTCGCCTAAATATCACCAAATTAGTCTTTATAATTTAAAGATTTAAAAGAGCCGTGGACTGGGCGATTTAAACCTCTACCTTACTCTATTATTAATTATTGTTATAAAATAATTTTTATTTATTTTAAAAGAAGAAAAGTTTTATTTTATTTTAAAAAATATGTATATGGAAGTGTAAAAGTCAAAAGCTGGGAAAAGCATAAAGCATTATATATTAAAAATTATTAATGTAAAAGATTGGCCGATAAGATCTCAATACCATCTTTTCTTCTTTCTCGTATTTCTTCTCTCAAGTTCACTTTCTTCCGGCTTTTCCTCCATGTCCATGACAGGCACCTGTATTTCCTTGACGGGCAGAACCTTAATTAAATTATTTTTGGTACAATCCACAACACTCCCCATTTTTAGATTTTGATCTTTTCGGGTGATTCGTCTCAATATCTGCTTATTTTTCCATTCCCATAATTTTAGAATCCAATACACTATATTTATTATAACCATTATTCTTTCTAAGTATTCCCAATAATCTATTCTTATTAAAATTCCACTTATTGACCAGTTGTTAGTAGGTGGATTAATCCATGCTCCTTGTTGCTCTATCGGTCTATTGTCTATACCCCTATGTCCTAAACTACTGTGCATCAATTGTAAAATGTCAATTTGATCTTCTGATATATTGTTTAGACTGTCTTTAACAAAAATATGAACCGCTAAATTCGGGACTCTGAATATCTTTTTATTGGATATTTTTTCTTCAATTATGTCTTTTGACTTTATTTCAGCTATATCTCCACTCCACTGGTCTATTTTAAAAAATTTTCCATCAATTTTGGTTGTAATATATCTAAATTTATCACAAGGACCTCTATCACTAAAACTTTTTATTATTAAATTCTGTGGGTCTATATATCCTTTTATTACTCCATCTTTCATGCTAATATTTGCTGGTATATCTTTAAAGCATGCTCCGTCAACAGACGGTGTGATGGTATAATTGGTCGGCGTACATTCCCAAAATTCTATAATATTTTTATCTACCCAGTTAGCCTCTAAATAATCATTATTAAGCTTTTCTCTAATAAATTTGGTTGCTTCTAAATGTGATAGCCATGTAGTATATTGGTTGCTTTCTATTGTTTCGCAGAGTATGTTAATTATATTTTCTAGCGCTATTCGATTTTGTTTGTCCTGAAAAACTGCTTCCGCTTGTAATCTAGATAATAATTCACTTAATTTCACACCTGGGTCCCTGTCTATATATCTTTTAACTCTATTTTTATTTTTCTGGTCTATAATCTTTTTAAAATCGTATTCTCTAATAGCAAATCCCGTATTACTTATTCTTAGTTTTTCTCCACAAGTCTCTATCTTTTCTGCATTTTCTTCGAATATTAATGATCTTTGCATGTCTATTGAATACCAAATTCCGTTTGAATAATTTCCTGAAAAGTGCCCTATTTTCTGGTATTTACACATTCTTTTATCGAAAATTTCACTAATATCATTGTTTTTCTCCCATATTATTGCGGCTCCATCTTTTAGGTTGCATTCTTCTTCTATAAATTCACAATGTTTCACTTCCTCTGTTGGTGAATCTATTGTAATTTTACCCGGTTGGCCTATTAGTAGGCTTTGAGTAATGAAACAGTTAACTACCGTTGCTTTTTGCCATCCTATTTTCCACCAGGAGTATTCTAGATTTAAGCTATTCCCCGTATGTAATTCTTTATCACTACCTTTTGTTATTTCCCCATATTCACATTTTTTAAAGTTTACCCAATTTTTGCACTCTTCCGGCGTTATTTTAATTATTTTTTGTTCCGGTGCTTTTTGGTGAGAGTATCCTAGAAAGTCTGTTCTATAGTCGACTGCTTGTTTTATTGCGACGCATTTCCATCCATAAAAACTAAACTCTATTGTATTTGGTTTGAAAATATCCATACTACCACTTAACACATTCTTATTCAGAAGCTTAATAACTTGCTTACATTCTGAGTTCTCTATCTTGAACTTTATTAAATTACTCTTTTTTAAGTGGTGACAGATCATAGGTCTTACTGCTATAGCACTGTTCATTAATGTGAGAATATTAATCAATATTATTAGTCCTAGAGTGGTCCCTAATTTGTAAGTTTTTCCTTTATTTACCCAAGCTTTATTTTTCTTACTTTTATTTTGGCTCTTTTCTTCCTTTGTCTTCTCATCCTCTAAATCTTCCTCATTTTCTTTAAATAATTCCTTTTCAACTTTCTCCAAATCAATATTCTCAATCGTTTCTTCATTTTCGTCTTCCTTCAATATTTCCTCTTCTTTTTGTAAATCTAATTCACTTAATTTCTCACAAATTTCTCTATTCCCTATTAATTCGTGAAACAATTCTCTATTTAAACCCTGTATTATTTTATTATTCGCTATTGTAAATTTTTCTTTAATATCTTCCCAATTTTCCTTTTTAACACTTCTTGCGGAATTCTGTTGAGTGTTAAATGGATTTTCTATTACAACAGGATACTTTTCTGTATTTTTATCTTTTATCCAATTTTCTTCTGTATTACTAATACTGTATTTATCAAAATCTATATCAACCATAAATTTAAAAAATCCTGCGAAAAGTCTTGCTGTTCCGTATTCTGTGTTTTCAAAGCTCTCTCCTATATTCTCAAATATTCTATTTCCCAATTCTATATGATTTATTTCGCTATAATTTCTTTCTTCTTCTATTATTTTCCATATATTTGGTACTGCTGGTTTACTCAAGCTTAATAAATAAAAGTTGACCATTATTAAGAGAGTGTATGCTGCAAATCTTCCATTTTTTGAATCGATTACATTATTTATTTCTGCCCATTTTTTAATATTCACCCATATATATTTTAATTTTGGCTCTATTTCTGTTAACATTCTTATGTGAAGACTATTTATTACCCCAGTTTCGTTCTCTATTGTTATTTGGATTGTTATTCTATTACTTTCTTTATCTATCTGCATTTCTAATAAAGGGATTTTTGCCTGTATTATTAAATTTTCTTTATGAACTTTATCTGCCCCATACTTTATTTTAAGCTCTTTTGCAATTTTCTTTAATAATATTCCTATATTCTTTATATCTGATTCAAACACTGCGATGTCTATATCTGACTTTTGAGTACATAAATTACTAAGTGTACTCCCAAATAACTGTATCTTTATATCTATTCTTTCTTCCAAAAACTTTTTAATTTCATAGTATTCTTTTTCTAGTATAATTTGCCAATTTTCATCCAATATTTCCTTTGCGTTTTTCTCTATTAGCTTATTTAACATTATCTCTTTATCTATTATCCTTATTTCTTCTAAAAAATTTTGTGGCAGACAATATTTTTCTTTAATTTGATAATTTTCCTCCAAACCTTTTGATGTGTTGCTGGTACTTTGACTATATACTTCTTCATCCAAACTTCCTTTACTTGAGCCTGCTCTATTATATTTTATTTCTCTATTTATCCCTTCTTTATTATTTTCTTCTTTTTTCTCCCAAAAATTTTTATTCGATTCTTTACCTTCCTCCCAATAATTCTTCTTTGTATTTTTATTGAAATATTCGTAATCTTCTTTTTCATAATTTCTCCCTTTTGCTGGCACTCTATAAGTGAAAACTTCCTTTTCTCTATTACCCCATTTTTGACGCTTTTCGTTCCAATTAATATTGTTAAAATCTTCTCTATATCTTTTTACATCCATTGACCTTTCCCTCTTTCGCGAAGGGCTTCTTCTTCTTTCTCCTCTCTCAAATTTTTGGTAGCCTTTATAAAAACTTTCTCTTGAATTTCTTCTTTTTCTTGGCAATTCCCCAACTCTCGCTCTATTTCCCGCTTCAAAATCAATACCTTTATGTGCCATCTCCCTAATCATTTCCGGCCAATCTTCCTCTTTATCTTCAAGTGTTACAATATTATCTCCGACTATATTCTGAATATATCTTGAATTAGGATGTTTTAGAAACCAAAATACATCTATATTACTCAACACTGCTATTTGTTTTAATTTCTTCATTAGCTCTATTAATCCCTCTTCATAGTCTTTATTCAAAACAACTACTGTCTTTACTTCATTCTTTAATTGTATCTCATTTCCAATCAGGCTGCTTCTCCAAAAATTAGGTACATATACCGTTGCAGGAATTCTTTTCGCCACTAAAAAAGCCCTTAATTTTGTTGGAATATAATTAGTAATAAATAGAGTTGGATTATGAATTTCTATTTTTTGTTGTTTATACATCTTAAAATTATTTAAATTTATTATTTAAATTTATATATTTATGTTTTAAATTTATTTCTTTATTGATACTTTATTATCTATAATTTTATAATTTTATTCATATTTTGTTTATATATTTTATTTTCTCGTTTATATTCCTTTATTATTTTTTATTCTATATTAATATATTTATTTATTTTTGTTTTATACTTTTTATTCCTCTTCTTCGATTTCTAATGGGTATATTATTTTTGTTGGTCTCTCATATATCTTTTGTCCTATTTTTATTTTAACTGTTCTATCACTAATTATTTCAGTAATCAACCCTATTGGCCATAAGGATCTTGGACATTCTATATTTTCATTTATTATTACAACTTGCCCTATTTTTGGAAATTTTCCTACCCCCTTTTTATTATTCTCATATTTTTCTCTTAGTGACGTTAAGTATGTCTCTTTCCAATTCTTCCAAAAAATATGCGTTTTAAAAATTGATTTTTTATATGTGGCCAATAATCTATCTCTATTTTTCGTTGTAGGTGTAGGTACGAAAAATTCCTCGTCTTTATTTACCTCTTCTATATCTTTCGTAGAAATTTGAATTTCATATGGTTTGTCGCTACTCGGGTTTATAATATCTATAGGTCTTAACGGTTCTACTATTTCTGATGAAGACAAATATGTTAGTGGGCGTTCATTAATTATTCTTTCTATTTCTATTAATAAGGTTGTTAATTCTTCAAACGTACATATATTTTTTCCAACTACTCTTTTTAAATGAAACTTAATAGATTGAATTAATCTCTCAAAACTTCCTCCTCGCCATGGACTAAGAGGGGTATTAAATTTCCACTCTATTTCCTTATTTATTGCAAAATTTTGGATTTGTTTATCATTAAATATATTTAGCCATAATTTCTTTTGTTCTAACTCTTCAGAGCAAATTTGTTGAATTACTTTATTGGCCAAGACAAATGTTTTACCATTATCTGATAATATTAATTTTGGTGTCCTCCTTCTTCTTATAAATCGTCTAAACGCTAAAAGAAATTTTTCCGACGTACAATCCGTCACTATTTCAATATGTATTCCTCTAGACAATAAACAAGTGAATATAGCTCCCCAAACTTTATTACAATCTTTACTCTTTATTAAAATTGGTCCGAAATAATCTAATCCTACATTCATAAATGCAGTGTCTCCTTTGACTCTAAAAATGGGTAAATCTGGTGCTTTCGGATATTCAAATTTTTTACACGTATATCTTGCACAAATTCCACATTTTGTCTTCCGATTATGAAAGATTACGTTCCTAATTAATTTTCTACACTTTGGAATCCAATATCGTTTTCTTAAAAGGCAATGAATTATTTCTACTCCTCCATGCATTGACGCTGCGTGAGCCTCTAGTATTAAACGTGGAACTATACTTGCTTTTCTATCTAAAAATATAGGGCACATAGAGTCTAAATTGAGGCCACTTTTTCTTATTCTTCCTTTTGCTCTCCATAAATTTTTCTCATCTTTATAAAGATCTAATTGTCTAATTTCTGTATCTGTGGGTGGAAATATTTCTTGTATTTTTCTAAAAATAATTTTTTCAGCTCTTCTTAATTCTTTTACTTTTATTGGTCCTTTATTTTTCCCTTTCCATCTTAATATATAACACACTATTGATTTAATTTTATTCCAATTTAATGATCTTTCTATTATTTGGAGAATTTCATCTTTTTCCTTTACTATATTTTTTTCTTTAATGTTTAAACAAGCTATAGTTTGCATTTTTATTTCCTTTTGAATTGTTTTTGGGTCATATTTTATTAATGATTCAGGCCAATATTTCTCTATTTTTGATAAAAATTTTGGTCCATCCCACCATAATTTACTTTGTTGTAATTCCTTAATTGAGGCACCCCTAGACGCAATATCCGCTGGATTAATTTTACCTTCTATATGGTTTACCAAATATTCCCTTATTTTCTTTACTCTATTTGCAGTAAAAACATCCAGTCTATTTCTTGAATGTAAAAAATCTATTACATCTTTTGCGTCTGTCCATATCTGTATTTTATCAACTTTTATCTCTTTTTCTAATTCTTTCTTTACAAATTCACTATATTTAGCGCATAGCATAGTCGCATGTAATTCTAAATTCGGTATGGTTCTTCTTTTGGTTGGGAGAGTTGAAGGAATTATTAAGCTTTTTCCAAAAATTAATTTAGTAATTATTTCATCTTTTGTGATTACTCTAAGGTAAATCGCTGCCCCAAACGCTATTTGAGATGCGTCCGAAAATGCGTGTATTTCGTATTTGTCTATATTTTTCTTTATTACATTATGTATTTTCCTTTTAATTACTATATTCTGATTATTCCATTCACTAATTATTTTAATCCATTTTTCTCTTTCTTTATTCGTTAATAATTTGTCCCACCCAACTTTTCTATTTTTATCGATTTCCTGACGAAATAGTTTTGCCTCTATTAAAATTGGCGCACAAAGACCCATAGGATCGAACAATTTAGATGATTGGGACAATAATTTCCTTTTAGTTAATTTTTCTCCTACTTCTATTTTAGGAAATTTAATATATATTTCGTCTGTTTTAACATTCCATTCTAGCCCTAAAAATTTTACTCTATCTTTAACAATCCTTTCTTCAATCGGTAATTTATTTATTTGTTCTGAGTTAGAAATAAATTCTCTTATTGGCATATTCGCTTTTTCAAAAATTAATTTTGTTTGTTGACAAATATTTAAAATTTCCTTTTCATCTTCTACTCCTATTATAATATTATCGACGTAAATATTTCTTTCAATTTCTCTTGCTAAATCTGTATTATATTTCTTTAAATGTATTTGAATGACTAAAGCTAAGTGTGCTGGTGAACATATTATTCCAAAAGTTACTCTTTTAAATCTAAACGCAATTATTTTTGAGTTTTCATCCAAAGGATCCTCCATCCATAAAAAACGTGTTACATCTCTATCTACTGGGTCAAGATTTATTTGGAGGAATGCCTTGGCTATATCACACCCTATTAAATATTTTTGAAGTCTTGCTCTTATTTGTATACCCGTGAGATCATTAAATAAATTAGGTCCTTTCTCTAAACATTCGTTTAAAGAAGGTGCGTTCCCCGATTTGGCTGCTCCATTAAAAACCTCTCTTATTTTTGTGTGTTCTTTATCCTCTCTAAATACTGCAAAGTGTGGTAAATAATGTACTCTATTTTCCGTATTTTCTTCTATTGCTATTCTTTCAATTAATTCCATTTTTTCGTGCTCTTTAAATATTTCGTCTATTTGTTTTAAAATATGCGGTTTTTCTCTTAAATTCGTGACCATATTTTTTAATTGAGCATATGCCATTCGCTTATTATGAGGTAATTTTTCTGCTAGACTGTTCCATAAAAGTGCTGTTTGATATCTCTGACCGTCATATGTTACTAATTTTTCCATTTCTTTTTTGACTTCTTCATCACTCTTTTCTATCGCGTCACTTAATCCCATAAATTGCAGGCTTTCTTGTTTCCTTACTAAATCTTCCCATTTATACGATTCCTTATCATTCTGTATTTCTAATGTACCAGTGTTATTTTCATCTATATAACTATATCCACAAATTTCTCCTTCTGTTTCCTTATTTAATATTTTCCCTTCTCCGTTAAGAATATTACCTACTTTAGAACTAGATAACCAAAATCCAGATGGTAATTGTTCTTTAGTTGAAATTATAAATTTATTATAATGATCATTTCCTATCAACAATCTAGGCTTTATCATCTGTAATTCTGCTAAAAGTTTATTTCTATTTAACTGTTCTTTGGGAATTGACTCTATTGACACATAAGGTAGATTATTTAAAACAGTTGGCAAAGCACGGGCTTTTATCAATTTATCAAAGCTCCCTTTTCTTATTCCAAATTCTACTATTGGTTTTTCAAAAGTCCCCATTTTGGTTTTTCCTATTCCCTCTATTTGAAATTTCTTTATATTATTATTACACAGTTTTAGTTCTTTTGCTAGCTCTTCTTCTATATACGATTTTTGGCTGCCGTCATCTAATAATGCAAACTCTTTTATTATTTTTTCTTTATTTAATGGGTTATATAATTTTACTGGTATTACTTTAAAGAGTGACATTTTACTTTCTGGATTTAATAAACACGAATTAACTAAATTATTTTCAATTTTACAATCTGTGTTTATATTTACTCTACAATCAGTTATAATTTCTTTGCCTAAATTCGATAAATCTATATCTTTTAATTCTTCTACTTTATTTATATTTTCCAAACTTAAATTTACTTTTTCTCTTATATTTCCATATTTTTTGCGGCAGAGTGCTGAGTGATGAGCTTTTCTACAAAATACGCACGTTCTTCTTCTCCGGCACTGTGACGCCATATGGCCTTTAAATAAGCAGTAAAAACACAACTCTTTTTTAAGACAAGCGTTCCTTCTCTCTTCTGCACTTTTATATTTTGTGCAGTCTACTTCCGTATGATTTTTAGAGCAAAGAGCGCAAATAATTTCCTTTTCTCTCGATCGGCTCTGGCTGTCCGAGCTGCTTTTTCCTCGGTCTGGGAAGGGAGAGTCTCTTCTTTTTCTATATTGATTATTTCTCTTCTCTTCTTCACTAGAGGGACTGAATGATCTGGATCTATCTCTATTATAATTTTCTCTATTCTGGTTAAAATTTTTATCTCGGAATTTTTCTCTATTTGGACTAAAATTTCTATTATTAGAGGGTCTAAATTGTGCGAAATTTCTATTTTGATTATTGCCATACCAACTATTATTTGTGTTTTTATTTGTAGTTGTCGTTAAACTTATTATTCTTTCTCCTGCTTTTTGTTTTCTAACCGAATATTGTACTTCCTTAACCGTTCTAACGTGTGTAAGCGCTTTTTTAAACGCCGCTCTAAATTTTTCCGTTGACCAATCCTCTTCTTCTTCTATGGATTTTATTGCAAAATATTTATCTAAAACTTCAGCACTTAGTTTACTCTCTAAAGCCATATAATAAGGTGTATCATCTGTATTTTGTTTTAAAGAATTTAATAACCTACATATTTTCTCTATTTTCAAATATAATCTTTCATCTTCTTCAAAACATTCAGATATTGGCAAATTCATTATTTCCTGATTTAGTGACCTTATTAACTTTTTACTATCTCCAAACTTTTCTAGTATTAAATCAATCGCATCGTAATATCCATCTTTTGTTATTGGTATACCCTCTATTAATTCCTTAGCTGCTCCTTCTAAACCCGCCTGTAAAAAATTAAATTTCTCTATTTCCGATAAATTCCTCTCATCATGTACTAACACCTTAAAATTCTCCCAAAAGGAAAACCAACTCTCTATTTCACCGTCAAATTTCTGTATTTGGATTTGTGGTAATTTCGCTTTTATTGAGGTTCCTCCGTGATTTGCTGATCCTACTGAAGCTTCTTCTGGGTCTATATCCAGTCTTTCTTCTATACTATATTTTAATGTTTCCCACTCCGCTCTAGTTTTTCTCACCTCTTTCAAAACACTCGCTAAGTCTAATTCTTCTAGAAATGTCGAAAATGATGCCTCTTTAATTTCTTTACTCGCCGCCGACAATCTTCCTATATATTCAGTAGCTTTTTTCTTATTATCATCTATTTCGTAAATTAAATCCCCAAATTGCTCTAAAGTATTTTTAACAAAAAAGTATTGTCTCCGTAGCTGATTTGGCGTAGCTTTATCCCCTAATTTTTTCGGAAGGTCCTTATTTTCTAATTCCTTTAACCTATCTACTAATTCCAAAATTATCCTTTCAAAACTTAGTATAGGCCTATCCATTTTAATTTTATTTATATATTTTAAATTTAATTTAAATTTTTTTTTTAGATTTTTATTTAAATTTAAACACCTTTCACGTCCTTCTTTATTAGCTTCGTTGAACAATTTGAACAAGGCGATTTGAACAATTTTACAGGTCCGTTGCTCGCCACGTATTGAAAGATGAACAATTCGCCTAAATATCACCAAATTAGTCTTTATAATTTAAAGATTTAAAAGAGCCGTGGACTGGGCGATTTAAACCTCTACCTTACTCTATTATTAATTATTGTTATAAAATAATTTTTATTTATTTTAAAAGAAGAAAAGTTTTATTTTATTTTAAAAAATATGTATATGGAAGTGTAAAAGTCAAAAGCTGGGAAAAGCATAAAGCATTATATATTAAAAATTATTAATGTAAAAGATTGGCCGATAAGATCTCAATACCATCTTTTCTTCTTTCTCGTATTTCTTCTCTCAAGTTCACTTTCTTCCGGCTTTTCCTCCATGTCCATGACAGGCACCTGTATTTCCTTGACGGGCAGAACCTTAATTAAATTATTTTTGGTACAATCCACAACATATATTGAAAATTTTTATTTTCCCCGATTTTTTCTTTTCTTCTACAGAGAGCGGAACAGTGACGTTTATCTTTACAATGAAAACACTCGATTTTATTTTTACAATTGTTTGCCCCATGTCCTAATTTTAGACATTTTAAACAAAGTTTTAGCTCGCGTGCTCTTTCAACACGTTTTTCAATATTATTATATTTTTTACACTGATTATCATAATGTGGATCGGAACAGAATGCGCATTTTAAATTCGTTTCTTTATTTAATGAATACATTACTGTATGTTTGGGAAAATTTCTTCGATTTAAATTTTGCCCATAATTTTGAAAATTTGTTACCCTTTGGGTACCCCATTGATTATTTTTATTTAAAATTGTTTTTCTAGGTGGTTCTCCAGTGCTGAATTCCCGATCCATTTTATATACTTCTTCTTTTAATCGAACAGATTTATCGAGAAAATCCCACATCCCCTTTACGCTCATATTTGGTACTTTAATTTTTTCTTTGGCTAGCTCAGTGAGGGTCCAACGGGGTAGTTTACTTTCTATTTCTATCATTATTTGTCTATGTTCGATCGATTCCCCCATGAGTTCAAGCTGTCGTAGGATTGTATCTATTTGCCTTAAAGTTTGCCTTAATTCTGGAACATGAGGTGAGGATCTCGGAATTTTTCGTAAAGCCCCGTGAAGATATGTTTTAATTATTTCTGGATTTCCATAATTATTTTTAAGGATTTCCATTACCGTTGGTAAATTTTTTCCTTCAGAAGGAATCCCCTCAATTAGTTTAAATGCTTCACCCCTTAATGAGCGTTTTAAATAATCCAATTTCATTTTATTGGAAATGTCTGTTCTATCCCCGATATTTGTTGTAAAGTCTTCAATGAACTCAGTATATTTAGAAATATCCCCATTAAATGTTTGAAGTGCCAGTTCCGGCAATTTTGCATTATTTATTTCTTGACCCCGATTTGTTTGAGCAGAGTTTTTTAATACGCGTAAATTTTCTTTTAAGCGATCAATGATATTACGAGAATTTTCCATCTGCGTAAATAACCCCGTTTCTGCTCTGCTGGTAAATGTATAATGCTCCCCAGATTCTGATACCTTTTCAGTTGTATTTTTTATTGACCCCAGGTATTTTAACCATTCAAAATTTATTTCATTAATGGCTGTAAATGTATCCCCGTATTTTTCAATGTATGATTCAGCCATTCTTATTAACTCATTTTTCCTATTAAAGTCCTCATTTTGCACCAGAAAATCTATTTCTACTACCTCCTGGTCAAGTCTGATTAATCGGGCTTTTAGGGGATTTAAAGTATTTTTGAAACCTTCTGCCATTTTTTTACTCACCTAATAGTGTGGAGCACGTGGGAAGTAGAAAAGTGGTTGTGGGTGCACAGAAGGTGGTGGAAAATTTGGAACAGGTGGTGGAAGAGGTTGAACAAAGGGCGCTGGAAAATTCGGTTGTGGGTAGTAAGGCACAAACACAGCACGTGGATGAGCAGGTCGCTGTGGAATTTGGAACCAATTATTTAATTGGGACCCGCCTCCCCTCGGAAAATAGTTGTTATTTCTCCTACTAAAAGAAAACTGCCTGTTTTGTGCTGGGCTGGTGAATTGGACTCGATCGAGGATTGGACGGTGTTGGCGATTTGGAATGCGCTGCCTTTGTGGTGGATGTTGTGCTCGTCTAGGAAACGAGCGAGTCGGTCTGAAAATACGCCGACGATCTCTTCTTTGTGGGTGTTGTCTGTGTTGTCGCTGCCGATGTCGGTCCCTACTTCTGCTTCGGCTTCGACGATTGTTTCCCCCGGCCAGTTGTTTCGTGGCACCAAATGTCTTTATTTAGACCCCCAAATTAATTTACAGGAAAAATAATTTAAAAGAAATTTATCAATTAAAATAATTTATTTAATTTATTTAAAATAAGAAGGGGAACATTTTAATTTAAGGGATAGAAAAATGATTAAGTGTTAGCGGTTAGTGTTTAGTTTAAATAGGACAAAATTGCATCAGAAAAAAAAGTGGAATTTAGGAAAGAATTTAAGGATGAGACATTAAAAAAGGTTAATTTAAAAAATAACATTTAAAAAATGAAGAATTTCAAAAAATATAAAAATATATTTCAATGATTAAGGTTAAAAATGAAGAAATTTATTTTGAAATTTAAAATTAAAATATCATTTTCGGCTGTTGCCGACACCAATGGATATATTGTGTTCGTTTGATTTTTTTATATTTATACATCTAATATTATCATTCTAGTGATGGATTAAAAAGTTTAGAAATGACCGCTACAAAAATTGCGATGAATGATATAAATGTTGAAGGTTTTTAATATAGGTATACGATTAAACATTTAAAAACACTTCTTTGAGGACAACCAATTGTTGTTGAAGAAGGATTCGGTATTGCAATAATTGATGGCTCTAATCTTTTGGGGGTAACAGTTGGGAATTATTGTGCTTCCAAAGCAGTGGAGTTGGCGCGTATTTACGGAATAGGTTTTGTTGTTGCGAGAAACACTAATTCGATTGGGCCGGGACAATTCTATGCAAGTCAAATGGTTCAACCTGGAATGGAAGTAAGCAAAAAATTATTTTTGTTATAGAATCTTTTTGAATAATTTAGAAATTTCTTTCTATAGTTATTTAATTTTTCCAGAATCCCTGAAAATGAATTTGAATATTTCCGTTATACTAAATTTAATCTATATTTAAGTAAAATGAAATTTTTTTGCTTTTCCTGAATCCACAAACTCAGTTCTGATTATTTAAATCTTTTTGTCTTTTTATCGGGTACACGAAACTTAAATTCCAAATCAAATTCTTCTTTAAGCCTAGGAAACCTTAAAGATTTGAGATTCAAAAACATCCAAAAGCGAATCGAATAAATGAATTTTCGGTCTTCGATAAATTCGTTTAAGTTTGGTTAATCCCCTAGCATTTGTAGTAATGGGACAAATAAGTAATAAGAAAAAGAAAATTCAACATTATAGTTTATTTTATATATTGTTTTTAAAAATAAAATTATAGGGTATTATTATAAATGGTTCTACTTTGAGCTATGCCTTCAATCACCAGCCATTTGAGATCGAACAAACTAATATTTCTGCTGAAAAAAAACACTTCTTCGACTTTTTAATTGGAAGAAACACAGAAGAAAAATTGGTTTGCCGTTTTATTACAAATTTTTAATATTTATGTTTGCGAACCCTTTGATTTTTGTCGGGGCTGAGGGTCCCTAAATGACGTAATTCTTTACTTGTTTTGAGTTTATCAATTTTAAAACATCTTACATAAATTGATTTACTAAATTAACTATTATTTTTAGGACAAATGTTTTATAGTCAAAAATAATAATATGCCTATTCATGAATATGTACAGCAACGATATAATGTTTTTGGAAGATCATTTAGAAACCAGGTAATATTTCTTTTTAGATTAGTAATTTGATTTTTGGTTTTTACGGTTTTGTTTATTCATTTGTTTTTAGAAATTCTTTTTCGACTTTTTGTAAAGTTGGATCAATAACTTTATTAGTGTAGAGTTTATTGAAACCTATATTTTCACTGTTTAGAATATATACTTAAGATTCAACCTAATAATTTATAATTTTAATATTGGTATCTCCATTAAATTAATATTTTAAGTTGGTTTATCCTACTCAACGAGTGCTGGCTTACAACGAGCGATGTCAAAGAATCAGAGGAGGATTTGTTTATCTAAAGCATATGTATGACAGCCTCGTAAGTTTATATTTAAAGTTTATTTAAATTGAAAAAATTTTATTTCTAAAATTTGTTTAAACCTAAAATTTCAACTAACAATAAATATTTTTTAGAAAGCAATGGCAGATGATTGTAATGTTGCAATGTTTCCGCTTATTCCGGATGAGACGATCAGAGGTTATCTTAAATAAGAACTAAGTTTATTCATCAATTTATTTTCTAAAAAATAATTTTCTTTTATTTTATATTTAACTTTTAACATTCTTATTTTTAAAGTCTGTTTCAATATTATTTATATATTTATTAAGTTCTTAAAGGGGGGTAAAAATTTTTTGGAAATTTCCGCTGATTTTTGGTTGATTTTCTTTGGCGAAAAAAAACCAGTAATAGTTTAATTTTTCTTTATAGGAATTTTTTCTAGTATTTCTCCATCTAAAACAAAAACCACAAAAGATTTTTAAGGAACACTGAAATTCTGAAAAAATATTTGTACAGAGATTTCTCAATCGAGACAGATTTTCTTATAATATTGAAACAGGCTGTACATTCTTTTAATTTTTAAACAATTAAATAATTTCCAAGTTTTTTTATAATCAGTAAAATTTATTTAAAAATAACGTCAATTCTTTATTCTGTTGGAGGTTACAAAAGGAAAATTATTTTCCTTCAAGATAAATTATTAGGTGCGGACATAATTAGTGGCCGTTTTTTTCTATTAAATTTTTAGAGGTTTTATTTTACAAATTTTCTTTTTTCTTATTAACCAACATAAAGATCTGAATCTACTCTTCATTTTATTACCACGTTTAGCTATATATGGTTGATATTCATAAAGTTATGATTTTTTGAACTTCACTACCTCGTAGTGAAATTTACAAGCATTTACACCAAAAATTTTAAATTACCAAAAATGCAACAATAGAATCAAATAATCTTAATGATCTAGTTAATGGGATCGTTATCTATGCTATACAGCAAAAAATAGGGTTCAGGCTTTATGAATACGGCCGTATTACTCTCAGAAGCAAACATCGTCGAAGGAGTCGGCTGTCATTAAGAAACCGGTCTTGCTCAGCCGGTTTAGACGAAATCGCGATATTTCCACTTCTTAATTGTCGAGGGATATCTGCTCTATACATACAGTCACGCTTGACTGAAAAGACGCGGGCTCCGCTTTAGGAAGGCAAGTCAAATGCCGCGTGTACTCACTTTTGCAAAAATGGGAAAATGAGACGACACTACCCCAAAAAATTGTCTCTTATAACTCAGCGTTAAATCATCCGATCAAGATGATCTAAACGGTTTTTTAAATATCATACAGGGCTTATACTAAATCCGAGGTATGAAGTCTGTAAAACGTGTCGAACCCGGAATTCGAATTTCGACATTTTCGAAAAATTTAGACCTTTCGGATTAAAAATTTGACATTGTGCCCGACGGATAGAGATTTTGAAGGGCTTTCGAATGATATATTACACTAAATATTATCAATACATATACTCGAGAAAATTTGATTTTCGATGGTTTCGAAAATTTTGACATTTTCGATCAGAACTCCCTGAATACCTACCCAAAAATTCTCAAATTCTGTGATCCTTTAGAAAATACTCTAACAAATGATTCGGAATAAAAATAAAAAATATTGTGAAAAAACTTCTTTCTAAAAATCCAAATTAAAAAACGGCCACTAATTATGTCCGCACCTAATATTAATAGTTACTGTCTATTATTTTAAAACATTTTTTAAGCTCAAACTCTTTTCTGTAATTAAATCAGGAATGCGAAAAAAACAAGAAATACCCCGCTGAAATATTTTTTAAATTTTATATATGTAAGTATATTTTTCCAGAAACTAGTAATAGAGAATATTTCTAATATTTAAAAAATCTCTAACATTTAAAAAACTTTATTTATTAATTAATTCCAAGCAGTTCTTTTAACTTCAAATAATTTATTTAATTGTTGTGAATCTAAACGAGAACTTTCTGCACGAATTCCAAGCATACTTTGCCTTAAATTTGAAAAGATTGATGTTTTCGTCATGCCCGAATCCCGGGGAAAATCAATGTCCCGAGCCCCGACTTAAGGGATGTACTCGAATGTTTGGGATATGATCTCTAAGAGTTAAAAATATATTAAAAATAATTTATTTAAAAAAATAAAATAAGCTTTAAAATATATGTTCTATATATGTTCTTATTTCGGCTTAGACTTGTAGTATAAAATATTAATCCGGCAAAATTTATACTCACTAAATAGAGAATTAAATGGTGTATTTAAGAAAATAAAAAATTTTCCCTGAAATAATTTTTTGACTGAGAAAATGGTTAATTTTCATTTCAGTTACTCTTGCCCCTATCTTTATGTCGATGACTGTATATGTTAAGGGATTTCTATTTAATTTGTTTTTTAACGCTAATAAAATTAGAAACAAAAGCTTCTTTAAAAATAATTATTTATTTGAATGTTTAAATAAATATAATTCCAATTTGCTGATAATTATTTACCTCAGCATACCCCATAAAAATTTTAATTAAATACAAAAATATTTACAAATTTTATTTAATAAAAAATTAAAACAATTTTAGGCCCATAATTATTCCAAATAAATTAATTAATATCCAAAAGTTAATTAAATTTAAATAATTACTAGAGCTATTTTCGGTTAAAGAATGATAATTTTTTCGACGTCTTCCATGAAATATTTTTTTCCTTTTATTTTGATTGTTAGTTGATTGAAATAATAAATTTGTTGAAAAACTAAAAATTTGTTTTTAATTTTTAAAAGTTCACATACTCATAGTTAGCTTGACACCAACAAATTTTCTTTTGTTCATTATTTGTTTCTAAACAACCAAAAGAAGAAAGACACGAAACAGAGCCCAACAAATTTTTATTTAATGTTTTGTTTATTTCTCGTTTGTTTTGAATACAAGTTTCTCTTTTTGAATGTTTTGTTGAATTTACTGCTAATTTGATTTAGATGAAAGAACAATACTTATAACGGCCCCCTCTATTAGTTCCTTGTAGTAATCAGAATTTCATTCAGTACCATAATACGGCGCGCCCTCAAAACGGCCCACCCTCAAAATGGCCCAATGTACAAAAACCCTCAAAATGGCCCCTTGAACAAATACCCTCAAAATGGACTACCCTTAAAACGGCCCATTTCAAAATGTCCAACAAAGTAAAAATACTCAATTTGTCTAACTAAAATTAAAAAAAGTTTCCAGAAGATATCCGGAAAATCCGGAAGATGTTTCCGGAAAATCCGGAAAGGTTTCCGGAAATGCGGAAGATGTTTCCGGAAAATCCGGAAAGGTTTCCGGAAATGCGGAAGATGTTTCCGGAAAATCCGGAAAGGTTTCCGGAAAATCCGGAAAGGTTTCCGGAAATGCGGAAGTTGTTTCCGGAAAATTCGGAAAAAGGTTTCCGGAAGCCAGTTGGGCCGTTTTGGTGATTTTGCACTGTGGGCCGTTTTGAGGTGGGCCATTTTGAGGGTATTTGTTCAATGGGCCATTTTGAGGGTTTTTGTTCAATGGGCCATTTTGAGGGTGGGCCGTTTTAAGGTGGGCCATTTTAAGGGTGGGCCGTTTTGAGGCGCAGCCCCATAATACCGATAAAAAAATACCAATAAAACACCCGGAAAATAACCAAAATACCGAAAAATACTGTTTGTAGTAAGTTATCGTCTGATCATCAACAAATAATAGCACATTCGACACGGCTCAACGAGCTAAGTTAAATTATCACATACATATATTAGTCAAAATATGTAATAATAAATCGCTCTTTTAATTTTTTGTTTGAGCAAGTAACTACTGAAAGAATTAATCCCGTAGAAATTTTTGGAAGCAAAGACTGGAAAAAAGTAAAATTATTTTCTAACCTTTATTTTGATCAAAACAAAATTTTATGTTTAATTCCTCAATTAAAATATTTAAACATTTATTGCAATAATTACAATAATTTTTAACATTATTTGATTGCCTTCTTCCTCCATTAGAATTTTTAGGTAAATTATTATTTAATAATGAAAGTGAAATTCCCCCCAAAATTTGACCATTTCGAGCCCTGTATCTCAGTCCAAACTTGTCCAATCACGGCGATTTTAGTGCCAATCGACTCAGCCCTTTCGAATGAGCTATCATTTGTAGATGTTAAAGTGGTTGTCTTTGTCTGCGTTAAAGTGGCAAAGAGCTAGTATTTCTTTGACGAATGCCGTGAGAATTAGAACTTTTTGGGGAAATTAACAATAAATTTTAGCTCTTCAAAAAGATTGTACATGTTACAATAAAAATCCTTCCAACTGAATATATAAAAGAAAACTTTAAAAATTTTTAAAAACTTTTAGCTTTTCAAAAACATTACATAAATTTTCATAGCATTTATTTTATCCACTATTTTTATTTATCCTTATCTTATTTATATGTATATTAAATCTGAATAATTATTTTGTTATAATAATTAACAAAAAATGTGTTAAATTTAAATTATTTTTCTTTCCCTCTTAAATATTTATTTTCAAATTTATTTTATTTATAAGTCACTTCCTCACTTTCCTCCACCACAAAGGAAGAATTGGATAAAGAAAAGAGTATTTACGAGGAAAGAAAAGAGGCGGGTGAAACAAAATATATACTAAAAATATTAATGGAGATTTTCATTTTAATTAAAAAATATTTTTTTTGTTAAAAATATTTTGTTTAAAATATTTTAATCAAAAAATTAAAATTTAAAAAATTATGAATCCAAAACAGCAAAAACAAATTAATTCAAAAATATTATTAAAAAATAAAAAACAAAACAATTCAATTCCTCTTGAATTGCTAGTTGATATATTTAAAGCGTCAACATATCCAAATAATTTTTTGGATCATTTTACAAAAAAATATTCTCAAATGTAAGTCAAAAATTAATTTTAAAAATTAATTGAATGTTAAAAATTAATTAACCGGTAGTAGGTACCGTTCAATCACTCTTATTGTGCCAAATTAATTTTCAATTTCTGATTAATTGTATGTACCTAATAAAAAATAATTATTTTCAGTGAGATAAAATTTAATATTAAAGAAATTTTAAAGTGATTAAAGTTAATCCTCATCCCATTTATTAAATACGGAGAGCAACTCAAAATTGAAAATTTTTAAAATAATTTTTTAGTTTGTCGAATTGCGAGAAACGTGCTTTAATGGTAAATAAAAAAGCTTGTTTTTATAAATATAAAATGCAATTATTTGGAAAATATTGGAGAAAGCATATTAAAATTCTGTTAACTACTTCTAAAATTATATATTTTTTTATTGGAAAAATTTTGATAAAAAGAGAGGTAAACTTTTAGATTGATTTGTGGAATGTAAAATAACGTTGAAAATTTTAAAAATAAATTAAAATTAGCCCTTATATACATATCCTCGAAAAACACTTTTTAAGGTTTCCTTGAATAAAAATCTAAGCTCCTGAATTTATGGGTCGAAATCCTCGTTTAAACATAATTTTTTATGAAGATTTTTTAATTGAGGGAATGAGATTTTTGTAAATCTTTATATCCCATATAATTAATCCTTTCTGATTAAACAGCTAACACCTTTTTTAGAGTAATTAACAGTAAAATATGAATAATAGAATTTTGGGTTATGTTAAATGATTGAGTTATACAAACACAACAATATCAATATACCCCATCATTTATTCATTGTTTTACCTCTTAAAATTAATTTGATCAAAAAAAGACTAATTTTGGGTTCCAAGAGTTAAGTTCAGTTATTTGACCTCTTATTTATAAAAGGAGTGTTTATGTATTTCCATGAATAAATCTAAGCTCCGTCATTCAAATATAATTTTTTATGAAGATGAGTTAAATTTTTTATGTTATTCCATCTTTTAATTTAAAAATGAGATTTTTCATAAATTTTTATACCCCATAACTAATGGTTTTTGATTTAGTTGATAAAAGGCATCACATAAGGCAGAATTGGGAAAGAAACTAAGTAAATGATAAAATTGTATAGTCAAAATTATCTTAAAATTTTTGAAATTAATTTTTAGAGACAGTTCTTTATTGCAGTAGGTCGTAAGCATAATGGATTAAAAATTTTAAAAGACATTGTGGAAGGCAAATTTGACGTGAAACGGATGGTGAGCTTGTCAAAAATTTAATAATTATTTTTAGTCAAAATTCTGGCTATTTTCTCTCATATACCTAAGCAAATCTCTTATTATACTAGTAGAAATTTTTTTGAAAATTTTGAAAATCTTTTATGTTTAATCTCGAAAGGTTTCTATTGGTTAAATATTTCTTATCCCCCTCAATATATATTATTATTCGAAAGGAAATCTGGAAGCAGGACAAATTTTTCTAGATAACTAAATTCTCGTTTATTTAAATATTTTTATAGGCCCAAGAAAAACACAAAATATCAAAAAACAAGTGGAAAATTGTTTGTCGTAGTTATAAGAAATTAAAGAAAGATACTCGCGATAAAAATACAAAGGGTAGATTTCTTTAAAATTTACTTAATAATTAATTTTAAAGTTGCTGCGAGACAACCCTTTCCTGTTCAGGATGTAGAGGAGCAAGAAAATAATGAGAAACAAAGCGCCAGTAATTGGGCCCGACATTGGTCGAGCAATCTTAAAGATTATCTTTTGTCTAATGAAGTTGTTGTTGCAAATGCAAATGAAGTTCGTTTTTTACTTTGTTTTACGAATCCATGTTTATTTCCTTTTATGAAATTTGAGAAAATTCGGGGCTATTGTGACTTATATTCGGGACTTATATAAGCTTTCTGGGGTTCTTTGAAGAGCTCGCAAAGCCTAGTCTAATAAGGTGAGGATTAAGTTGATCCAACATTCCCTGAACGAGTTACAGGTTTTTAAAAATAGAAAACATCAGAGGTTCTATGGAAAAACTGTTTGTCCCTTTAAGTCACAATATAAATTTGGTAAGACTGTGGTGTTGATTATGCCTATCTTCCCATTATATTATCTATGTTCACTCTAACCACAGTATTTATTGGTAACTTAAAAATTTTAAAACATTGTCTAAAAGATTTTGTCCTAAGATTTTGCTGGCTATTGTCTTCTCGGTATGATGTACTCGATAATTATACCGATTTAATTTATTGTGGTCCTTTTTGTAAATTTGGTAGTTACATAGCCCATGCTATTATTAATTTGCTTTAGCTAACATTTTTAACTTTACTAGGTATATAATTTTGTCATTCGGTTTCTGGCATCTTTGGGAGTCAAAATTGATAGTAATAATTTCTCACAACAGTTACCTCCATTCAACATTGTAAATCTTATAAAATTTTCTGATACAAATGGTCATGTTGAGTTCGTTTAATTTAAATATATTCACATATACATTAATATGCGAGACATTTTTAGGTATGGACTGGCAGGTCTAGAAATGTTAGCTACAAAATTTTCAATGAATGATATATCCATTGAAGGTTTCTCTGTAAATATGTATGATTAAATTTTTAAAAACACTTCTTTGAGGACAACCAATTGTTGTTGAAGAAAGAGGCGGTATTGCAATAGTTGATGGCTCTAATCTTTTGGGTGTAACAGTTGGGAATTATTGTGCTTCCAAAGCCATGGAGTTGGCGCGTATTTACGGAATAGGTTTTGTTGTTTTGAGAAACACTAATTCCGTTGGTCCTGGGCAATTCTATGCAAAACAAATGGTTAGACTTGGAATGAAAGTAAGAAAAAAATTATTTTTAGTATAGAATTTTTTTAAATAATTCATAAATTTCTTTTTATGATCATAGGATTTTTCCTGAATCCCTGAAAATGAATTTGAATATTTATTTCTGTTATAAATTTAAATAAGATTTTTTGTTAGATCTAAATTTGAGTAGAATGGAATTTTTTGCTTTTCCTGAATTCACAAACTCTGAATTTAAATCCTTCGAAACTGAAATTTTAAATCAAATGCAGAGCTTCTAGTAGTCAGGAAGTCTTTTAGATTAAGAACCATCCAAACAGAATAAAACAAAGAAATTCTCGGTCCTTTGATTCAATTAGGTTCCTTGCCCATGAATTTCTGTTAACCACCTTGATCTTTTTACAAAAGAGACAAATAATAATAACAAAATAAAATGCTATGTATCATCATATTTTTTACTTTGTATATTGTTTAAAAATAAAATTACAGGGTATTATTATAAGTGGTTCTACTTTGAGTTATGCCTCCAATCAACTCACATTTGAGATCGAAATAAATAATATTTCTGATGAGATAAAAAACTTCCTCGAGACTTTAATTGAAGGAAACGCAGAAGAAAAATCGGTTTGCAGTTTTGTTACATACTTCTAGATATTAATGAACCCGTTCCTTTTGATTTTTGTTTGGGCTTGAATTACTTACCTTGAATTACTTAACAGCTAAAATAACTATATAGCTACATTAACTTTTTGTTTTAAGGATGAATGTTTTATGGTCAATAATGGTTTACTTTATGATCAAGAATATATACAAAGATATAATATCAAAAGATCCTTACGGAACCAGGTAATATTTCTTTTTAGAATAGTAATGTTATTGTAGAGTTTATTGAAACCTTAATTAAATTTTCACTGTTTAATTAAATATCTTTAATATTTTATACTTTTAATTTCAGTATCACTCTTAAATTAATATTTTAAGCTGGTTTATCCTACTCAACGAGTGAAGGCTTATAAGCTGAGATATGCAAGAACTGGGGGATTTGTTTATCAAAAGCAAGTGTATGACAGAATCGTAAGTTTACATATACCGTATTTACTCGATTAATTCCCCCGAGGAATTATTTTTTCAACCCATCCGTGGCATGGGGAATTAATAGAGGGTGGGGAATTATTCGAGTAAATACGGTATTTAAAGTTTATTTAAATTGAAAAAATTTTATTTCTAAAAAATATTTAAACCTAAAATTTCAACTAAATAAAATATTTTTTAGAAAGCAATGGCAGATGATTGTAATGTTGCAATGTTTCCGCTTATTCCGGATGAGACGATCAGAGGTTATTTTAAATTGAAAACCAATGAAAATTTTTTAATAAAATATTTTTTTTAAACATTTTTTTCCGACTTGATTTGATAAAGTTATGAGCATTTGTTTTAGCTCCTTACCTTTGGTCTACGTGCAGATTTTTCTTGCTGGGGAGGAAGCAAACATGCCGACCGAAGCTAAAATAGGCATAAGTTTATGTTACGAGCCCAGCACCCGTAGACTCCCCGCGAGGCGCGTGCCGCAAAACTCCGCGCGAAGCGCGGAGTTTTGCACAACTCCGCGCGAAGCGCGGAGTTTTGCACAAGCGCCTTAAAGAGGTTAAACACAAGTCCTTAAAGGGGTTAAAAAATATTTTTTTGAAAATTTCCGCTGATTTTTGGTTGATTTTCTTTGGCGAAAAAAATAATAAATAGTTTTATTTTTCTTTATTTTCTAACCGTTATTGAAATCTTTACAGGAATTTTTAATATTTTCCATCTGAAATAAAAAGCCACAAAAGATTTTTAGGGAACACTGAAATTCTGAAAGAAATATTCGAACAGAAATTTCTCAATCGAAACAAATTTTCTTATAATATTGAAACAGACTGTACATTCTTTTTAATTTAAATAAATAAATAATTTCCAAGTTTTTTTATAATCAGTAAAATTTATTTAAAAATAACGTCAATTCTTTATTCTGTTGGAGGTTACAAAAGGAAAATTATTTTCCTTCAAGATAAATTATTAATAGTTACTGTCTAGTATTTTAAAACATTTTTTAAGCTCAAATTCTTTTCTGTAATTAAATCAGAAATGCAAAAATAAAACAAGAAATACACCGCTGAAATATTTTTCAAGTTTTATATAAAATATTTTGCCAGAAAATAGAATTATTTCTAATACATATTTAGAAAATCTCTAACAGTTAAAAAATTTTGACCCTATACGCAAATAAGGGGGTATCTTTTTTATCCTTCCTTTTTTCCTTTCCATATTTTTCCTTATTTTGTACATTATGGTCAGACTTTTCCCTCGTTTACTTCCAATGAATTTCCCTATGGCTTCTTCAAATGAAAAGATTGGCAAAACACGGACGGATACAGACAGACAAAACACTGACGAAGACGGACAAACCGTATAGGGCCAAAATTTTTATTAATTCCAAGCAGTTCTTTTAACTTCAAATAATTTATTTAATTGTTGTGAGTCTAAACGAGAACTTTCTGCACGAATTCTAAGCATACTTTGCCTTAAATTTGAAGCGATTGATTATTTTGTCATGCCCCGAATCCCGGGGAAAATCAATGTCCCGAGCCCCGACTTAAGGGATGTACTCGAATGTTTGGGATATGATCTCTAAGAGTTAAAAAATATATTAAAAATAATTTATTTAAAAAAATTAAAACAATTTTAGGCACATAATTATTCGAATGAATTAATTAATATCCAAAAATTAATTAAATTTAAGTAATTATTACTGCTATTTTCGATTAAAGAAGAATGATAATTTTTTCGACGTCTTCCATGAAACATTTTTTTCCTTTTATTTTGATTGTTAGTTGATTGCAATAATAAATTTGTTGAAGAACTTAAAAAAATAGTTTCAAAAAATATTTTTTAAAAATTCCCTACCCAGACTGACACCAACAAATTTTCTTTGGTTCATTATTTGTTTCTAAACAACCAAAAGAAGAAAGGTGCGAAACAGAGCCCAACAAATTTTTATTTGATATTTTGTTTATTTCTCGTTTGTTTTGAATACAACTTTCTCTTTTTGAATGTTTTGTTGAATTTACTATAATTTGTTTTAGTTAAAGGGAAAGTACTTGTAAAAGCCTCCTCTATTAGTGCCTTGTAGTGACCGATAAATACTGATGGAAAATACCAATAAAATACCCATAATACCGAAATATGTATAACCGAAATACCGAAAAATACTGTCGGTAGTAAGTTACCGTCCGATCATCAACAAATGATAGCTCATTCAACGTGGCTCAACGAGCTACGTTTAATTATCACATATATTAGTCAGAATATAGTAATAATAAATCGAGTTATCTTCTAATTTTTTGTTTGAACAAGTAACTACTGAAAGAATTAATTGCATAGAATTTCAACGCGAGATTACATTTCGGGCCTGTTACTACAAGCGATAAGACAGATTTTTGGAAGCAAAAAAGGAAAAAAACCCTATAAAATAAATTTTCTAACCTTTATTTTGAACAAAACAAAATTTAATATTTAATTCCTCAATTAAAATATTTAAGCATTTATTGCAATAATTACAATAATTTTTAAAATTATTTGATTGCCTTCTTCCTCCATTAGAATTTTTAGGTAAATTATTATTTAATAATGAAAGTGAAGTTAATTGGGATTTACTTTTATCAATAATCTTTAAAATTTTAATTTTTATTTAAAAAAACTTTTCTCCTTTTCTTGCCTGTTGAAGTTCTTTGACGAATGCCGTGAGAGCTAATTACAGCCAAGGGAATTGTTGTGAGAAAATAAACAAATAATACAAAAATAAATTGAAACGCAATAAACATTTTTTAAAGAAAATGTTCTGGAATTTTAAATAAATTTTAATTGTTTTACTGAAAATAATTTAGATTTAAAAGGGACCTTTCACAAATTTCTACTTAATTAATTTTATAAATATTTTTAACTTTCTCCTTTTCTTGCCTGTTAAAGTGGCAAAGAGCTAGTATTTCTTTGACGAATGCCGTGAGAATTACAAATTTTTGGGGAAATTAACAATAAATTTTAGCTCTTCAAAAAGATTGTACATGTTATGTACAATAAAAATCCTTCCAACTGAATATATAAAAGAAAACTTTAAACAATTTTAAAAACTTTTAACTTTTCAAAAACATTACATAAATTTTCACAGCATTTATTTTATACACTATTTTTATTTATCCTTATCTTATTTATATGTATATTAAATCTTAATAATTATTTTGTTATAATAATTAACAAAAAATGTGTTAAATTTAAATTATTTTTCTTTTTCTCTTAAATATTTATTTTCATTATTTATAAGTTCTTCACTTTCCTCCACCACAAAGGAAGAATTGGATGGAGAAAAAGTATTTAGGAGTAAAGAAAAGAGGCGGGCGAAACAAAATATACTAAAAATATTAATGGAGATTTTCATTTTAATTTAAAAAAATATTTTTTGTTAAAATATTTTAATCAAAAAATTAAAATTTAAAGAAATTATGAATTCAAAACAACAAAAACAAATTAATTCAAAAAAATTATTAAAAAATAAAAAAGAAAACAATTCAATGCCTCTTGAATTGCTAGTTGATATATTTAAAGCGTCAACATATCCAAATAATTTTTTGGATCATTTTACAAAAAAATATTTTCAAATGTAAGTCAAAAATTAATTTTAAAAATTAATCGGTAATACGGTACCGTCCAATCACTCTTATTGTGCCAAATTAATTTTTAATTTCTGATTAATTGTATATAATAAAAAATAATAATTTTTAGTGAAATAAAATTTAATATTAAAGAAATTTTAAATTGATTAAAGTTAATCCTCATTTCAACTATCAAATAAACCAAAGGGCAACTTAAAATTGAAATTTTTTTAAATAATTTTTTAGTTTATCTATTTACGAGAAACGTGCTTTAATGGCAAATAAAAAAGCTTATATTTATAAATATAAAATGCAATTATTTGGAAAGTATTGGAGAAAGCACATTAAAATTCTGTTAACTACTTCCAAAATTATTTATTTTTTTATTGGAAAAATTTTGATAAAAAGAGAGGTAATCTTTTAGATTGATTTGTGGAAAATAACGTTGAAAATTTTAAAAATAAATAAAATTAGCCCTCATTTACATATCCTCAAAAACCACTTTTAAGGTTTCCATGAATAAAAATCTAAGCTCCTGAATTTATGGGTCGAAATCCTCGTTTAAACATAATTTTCATGAAGATTTTTTAATTGAGGGAATGAGATTTTTGTAAATTTTTATATCCCATATAATTAATCCTTCTGATTGATTTAGTTGACAAAAGGCATCAGATTAAAATGAAATTGGGGGAGAGGAATTGTTTGGGTCAAAATATCTTAACCTTTTTCAACTTACTTTTTAGAGACAGTTCTTTATTGCAATAGGTCGTAATCGTAATGGATTAAAAATTTTTAAAGACATTATGGAAGGCAAATATGACCTAAAACGGATGGTGAGCTTGTCATAGATTTAATGATTATTT